TGAGAACGCTCTGGTGTACTTCCCCCATCATTTTCTATTTGCCATCCGGTATTTATACCGCATGTTCTTTCATTCCTGCGGCTCCTTCTTCACCCCATCTCATCATCCCGATTATTATTCATCCACATCAAGCCATTGGCATCACTACTGCGTATGCTGGTGATTACTTCATCTTGCCTTGTCTATATCTGCACTTGTTCTATCCATTGAAGCCAGCATTCTCTCATGACAACGATTCTTTTGTTTTTGCTGCGGTCTTGGCCATTGAGTTCTTGCATTGCTTCGTTCTCCCCATTGCATCTCCTCATTCGTCTGTTCTTCGACCTTTATCTTCATACGGTTTGATCATCTTTACGATCCATTGCGCTAACGCATTGCTGTTACGTGCTTCTAGATTTTTACCTTTCTTTGACTACCGCTTTGGTCCCCTTACAGAAGGGCCAGGCGAAACCTCCACACTCAAACCGCTGCTAGTGACTAGGCTCACACTCGTTCTTTTCGCTAGCTCCTCCTTCTCATCCGCCGCTCTAGAACAGCAGACCCTAGTTCGGCTCCGCATTTTGACACTCCTTTTCCCTAGGCGACAGTTTCCTGGTTCCCTTCACAGTTCCAAGGCTCCAGATTTCGGCTCAATTGCGACCTTTCACACTCCTTTCCTCACAAAACAACCTCCTAGCGTCCTGAACTATTCTAAGATACGATATCTTAGACCACATTCGCAGTTCGCCCTCCACCTTCTTTGAAAGCAAATCATTTGCACCCTTCACTGTTCTAGGAAACGCAATTCCTGGTTCATCACTCAACCCTTCCACTTTCTCTTTGGTGCTTCGGAACTCTAGAACTCCGGGCCCAATTGCAATTGCACTTCGCCATCTTTCTCAAGAGTCAGCAAGGCACTTCAGTCATTTCTCACCTACATCCGAACACACACGTCTCTGACCAGCGCATTCGCTAAAATGTCTGGTCGCAATTTGCCATACCGTGATCGCGGCGGGGATCGTGGAGGGGACCGTGGCTCTCGCGGAGGACGTGGATTCAGTGGTGACCGTGGCGGCAGCCGTGGTTCTAGCAGTGACCGTGGCGACCGTGGTGGTCGCGGTGGTCGTGGTGGTCGTGGAGGTCAACAATCTGGTCCTTCGAGGTAAATTGACGTGATCTACGAGAAAGGAAATATCTAACATTTGTCGAACAGGATGCTCCTGGCGCCCACTCAGCCACCTGATCCGAACGCCCTCAGCTACGAGAACCAGTACATCAAGGACACCGCAAAGGATACCCAGAAGGACCACCAACTGGCTCGACGCCCCGGCTATGGAACCCAAGGCAGAGCCATGGTACTTCGGGCCAACTTCTTCGAAATGCAATTCAAGCCAGACCAGGAGTACCACTCTTACCGCGTGGACATCTCTGTGAAAAAGGATGGCGACGGCTTCAAGCATGCTGAAAAAATCCCCAAGGCGCATCGCCAGTTCTTGATGGACGCTTTTTTGCAGGAACGACGCTTCCAGGAAAACATCGGCCCGGCTACAGATGGAACCACCGAGATCGTTCTGAACAGACAATTGGATGACACCTCGAGCTTCGTTCGTCGCATTGGTGACGCTGCTGTTGCTCCTGGCGACAAACGGCCTATTTACAAGGCCACGCTCATCTATCAGGGTTCAGTCAAGCCAGATGATTTCAAGAACATTCTGCGCAATCCCAAACAACGGGGCCCAATGGAGAATGAGGCCGTCATTCTGCGCATCCTCAACATCGTCATGAGTGCGCACCCATACAAGGACCCCGGCATTTACATTTCTGGTAGAGGACGCACCAAGTTTTTCCGGATGGGCCCAGGAAAGGAGGCTTGGCCAATGGGTGGTGGCATTGAGGCTGCTCGTGGCTACTTTTCCAGTGTTCGCTTTGGCACAGGCAAGTTCCTGCTGAACCTGAATGTCAACCACGGCGCTTTCTACAAGCCCGGTCCCTTGAGTGCTCTGGTCAAGGAGTACATGGTTGTTTATGGTGAGGATCGCGAGCACCTTGGACGCTACTTGAAAGGTCTCAAGATTTATGCCATTCACTTGCCAAAGAGAAAAGATGCGTTCGGGAAGCCACAGTATGCTATCAAGTCGATTCTCGGTGTTGCGACTCCCCAGGATGGAAAAGTCAAAGGTGCCAACCCCAATGAACTTCCCCGAGTCAAGCGTCTTGCTTCTTCGCCGGGCAACGTTCAATTCTTCATGAACCAGGAAGGTAGACCTGGTCGATATGTCACTGTCACCGAGTATTTTGAGAAAAGTATGTCTTTTCCCCGTCCCTTGCTTTTTAGAATATGCTAACCAAAGTCACAGCCTACAACATGAAGATCAGGTGCCACGATATGCCCGTTGTCAATGTCGGTAACATGGAACATCCCTCTTATCTGCCGCTGGATGTCTGTGAGGTTGTTCCTGGTCAAGGCTTTGGTGGAGACCCAGCCACTTCGCAGCGTCAGGCGATGATCAAAGTCAGTTGCCGTAAGCCACCTGAGAACTACGAGTCAATCACCACTGATGGTCTCAACATCATGGGAATCACCGCCGGCAAAACCGTGGAAAGAGGAATCAAAGTCCTCCCTGATATGGTCACTGTCCCAGCTCGCATCTTGAACACCCCTGTCTTGAAATATGGATCTCAGAAGACCACTCCCCGATTTGGCTCTTGGAACCTGGCAAACACGAAATTCTGCAGTGGTGCCACCATTCCAACGCCGGCTGTTCTTTGGCTTCGGAAGGGTCGAGACTTGTTCGAAACTCCCAACATGTGTGTTCAAAAATTCACCAAGAAGCTACGAGAACACGGCATGAAAGTCAACGACCCTACGATGTATCTGCAGGCGTCACTCTCTGGGGGCCCCGAAAGTGAGTCCAAAAATCGGGAAGCGATCAAGCAATTGTTCATTAAGTTGCTGAATGGGAACGTCAAGTTTGCCATCGTTATTCTCTCTGACGCAAACAGCAAGGTATTCGACTGGATCAAGTACTCGGGAGATATCAAAACTGGCATCATTACCCACTGCATGCAGGTTGACAAACTTAACAGGGGCGATGACCAGTACCTGAGCAACAACGCTATGAAGGTCAACCTGAAATTTGGTGGCGCCAACCAAGTACTTGACGGATCCCACTCCAAGTTCATTGGACAAGGAAAGACCATGGTCGTTGGCTTGGATGTCACCCATCCAACCGGCACAGATCCCCCAAGTTGGCCCAGTGTTGCCGCCATTGTTGCCTCAATTGACGGCCGTATGGCTCAATGGCCCGGTGAAATCATGATTCAAGGGCGCCGCGTGGAGCACGTTGAAGTTCTCCAGCAGTTAATGTACAGACGGTTGGAACTCTGGAAGACTCACAATGGCGGCACGTTGCCTATGAACATCCTCGTCTACCGCGATGGTGTTAGCGAAGGCCAATTCGATATGGTCCTGAATTTTGAACTTCCATTGATCAAGAAGGCGTGCGCGGAGCTCTACAACAGATCTATGCCCTACATCACCATCGTCGTCTGCGGAAAACGTCACAACGTGCGCTTCTACCCCACCATTGAAAAGGATCAAGATCGGACTCAGAATCCCATCAATGGATGTGTCGTTGATCGCGTCGTTACTCGCCCTATCTTCTGGGACTTCTATCTGCAAGCTCAGGCTCCTCTTCAAGGCTCCGCTCGCCCAGCTCACTACATTGTCATCCATGATGACATCTTCAGGAATCCCAAGACCAACCCGGAAGGCAAGCCTGCTGATATGATACAAGAGCTAACTCATAATATCTGCTACATGATGGGTCGTGCCACTCGGTCTATCAGTTACGCCACTCCTGCGTTCCTTGCGGACAAGATGTGTGACCGGGCTCGCAAGTACATGCTCGCTTACTACTATGCCTTCATGCAACCAAGAGGGCCTGGTAGCGACGGGAAGATGCCACCACCCCCGCCTGATTGTGTGCAGTTGGAAAAGAGCATTGTGTCTAAGATGGCCTACATCTGATCTCCTTCACTGCGATTTTCTGAACATGTCTTCGACAACTTGAGATATTCTCTGAATACTACTGGAACCTTGCCATTTCCTGCTTTCTTGATTTCTGATTTGTTTTTCGATTGTCTGCTGTTTGCTGTGCCGTTGCTTTTCTTTGGCTGAGAAAACACAAAACACCACAAAAGAAAGACAAAGATCAGGGTGGGAGGGTGGGAAAATATCTTTGCAATATTTTTTCTTTTACAGGTTGCCTTACTGCGTGGTGTTAGTGGCGTTCGTTGTTTTTTGAATTTGTCGATATTTCCGTTGCGCCTTGGTCTTTCTGTTGGTCTTGCGTTGTTCTTTTTGTTGTTTTGTCTTTTTGTTTCCTGCACAGAAAATAGAAAAGATTAGAAAAATGAGGGCGGGTGGGTGGGCATTTGTTAGAGTATAAAAATACAAAAAGATACAAAAAACTCCCCTTGTGTCTACGTTGCCACAGGCCATAAGTCCTTTCATATCCCCACCTCTATACAGTCTACATGATCAACTCAAACACTCGAAAACAGTCAAGAAAGAGGTGAAAACAGAGAGGCCAAAGAAGGGCGAAAAAATGCATGAAGCGGTATACTCGCTTCGAGGTTTTCGTGTAAAGACTGTCCAATACTCCATGGAACTGTATACACATTTATGATGCCTGTTGTACATAGGAAGTTGTAGCCTAGGAGGTCATTAGACTTTGTTGATTTGCCATTGCAAGACAAGCAAAATTATGGTAGCTAAGACATGAATGGAGATTTATGATGGCTATAGTTTCAAAACGGAAAACAACATAATATACATGTGGCGAGCCATATCTTGAATATGTCAACAGTAAGATGTTTGTCGATATGACAGGGAATTCGTAGTCCCAAGCCTATATGGAAGAGGCTGAGTGTGTAATCACCTCCATTCTCTCCAGGCACCAAATCGGAGAAAATGTTGGAGACAAGACTTGGCGTGTGATATGTTTGATATCATCCTAGGCCGGGGGTGCTCTGCAGTATATTCCCAATGGAACGAAATCAACACACTTTGTACCCTAAATGACTTTTTTGAGCTTTGGGCCCATTTCCCTTTTGAAAGCCGAGTTTATATACCCTTGCAAAAATTGACCGATTTGTCGATATCATCATTTACCGCTTGGAACTAGGTGTCCACGCCTCGGGCTGCCACTCCTCGCCTGGGTTGTTCTTGCTGGCCTTGGCCCATGGGTTCTCCTCCTTTTTCGTCTCTGGCTTTGTAGAGGCAGGGTCCGCCTGTGGAGCATTGGGTGGTGCGGTAGATGCCGGCGCATCCTGCGCGGTCTGGGTATTGGCAGTTGGATGGTTCAAGCTGGGACCACCGGGCTGAGTTGCTGATCCTCCCTGTTGGGTCTTGGGTTTATCCAGGAAAGAGGCTTTGCTGGCCCAGCGTTCGTCGGCAAGTCGGGCGAGTTGTTTGATTTGCGCTTGGCGGACGAGATCCTGTTTCTGCTCTTCGATGCTCGGAGGATGTTGCCGGACATGTCGTAGCCATTGGTGCCATTGCGCTGGAATGGATAGAGTGTTAGTCTCGGTTTCATCGCATTACCTCGGTTTGCCGGGCATGAAGCCACCAAGCCCATCCAAACCAGGCCTGCATCTTCCCTGCATGCAACAAGACTCACGTGTCACTTGAACATCACTGAAATGTGTTTTCGGATCAAATCGGACGATTCGGCGGTAACGAGCTGAATTCAAGACATCTTTGAACTCCCAGAAAGTGTTGCCGGCGAGATCCTGGCCTGTGAAGAGTTGATGGTTAGCGCCAGTCCCCAGGCAAGATAAGCAGATACTGACCGACTAAAAAAGATTTCCTCCAGGGCAGACGCAGAGCCTTCCATTTGAACCACAAGCTGTTCACCATTGTTGCGATGCAAGGAGAGAAAAAGAATTGAGGCGGAACGAGAAACGTCATCGGGGATAAACATGGCCGAGCATTCCATTGGCCTCTCTCCCTCTCACTCTTCTCTCTTCTCTTCTCCCTCGGATCTTCCAGGCTTCAACATTTCCAGCCCTCGGGGCATTTTCTCTTGCTCGTATTTCCAATCGCATTTCCAATTGCATCACGGAATACCCTCCTCTGCTACCCAACCCCCGCCACACCATAGGGGCCGATCAGGCGGCAAAGGGATACATAGCCCCAAACAGTGGCTAAACAATCTCACTGCGCTCTACACTCGACCTGAAGACCACTCGACACCATGGCTTCAGTGACTTCACTCGACAAGGACTTGCGCAATATGCGCCTGTCCCGCTATACCCCGCAGGCAGCTGCGGAGGTGCGCGACTGGATTGAGGAAATGCTTCATGAGAAACTGCCTTCGCAAGACTTGCTCGAAGGTCTCAAGAATGGCATTGCTCTCTGCAAGTAAGTTGTGATTGCGCTTTTCCGCCAAAGCCTGGACCCCTGACTGACTCCTATCTAGACTGGTAAACCTCGCCGTGTCACCGGGCGTGAAGTATAAGTCCTTGCCTGCGCCGTTTGTACAGATGGAGAATATCTCGCATTTCTTGCGCGCATGCCAAATGCCGCCGCTCAACCTCCCGCCGCACGACGTCTTCTTGACGGTTGATCTCTACGAGGCGAAGGATCCCGCGCAAGTTCTACAGTGTCTGGCATCATTCAGTCGCCGTGCCAATGCCCTTGAGCCCAGCAAGTTTCCTCGTACGGTTGGCCCGCAGAGCAAGCGCAATGTTATCAGCCCCAACGCGACGGGATCTTCCAGCGGGGGCTATACTCCTCGCTCAGCCCGCTCCTCTAGCAATGTAGGTGACACAAAACCATCTTTTCCCGCTCGGACAGGCAGTCCGACAAAGCCTTCCGGGTCATACAGTACTTGGGCCAAGAAAGGAGATGAACAGGTAACTACTCCTGCCTGGAACATCCACCAATATGGCTACATGGGTGGAGCGAGTCAGGGCAACCAAGGAATTGCGTTTGGTGCTCGCCGACAGATCACGACACCTGGACCTGCTGTGCCAAGTCTTGCAGAGAAGGAAAAGCGCAAGCGTGAGGAGGAGGACAGAATCCGTCAAGAGAATGCAGAGAGGGAAGAGGCCGAACGTGCCCGCCGGCAACAGATCGAAGAGGAAGAGGCTCAAGCCAAAGCTGAAGAGAAGCGCCGATGGGAAGAAGAGACTGCCCGCGTAAGGGAGCAGGAGCGTATCAAGATGGAAGCGGAAAGAAAGCTTTGGGATGAGCAAAAGCGTCAGTGGGAAGAGGAGGAGGCGCGCCACGCCGCGGAAGAGAAAGACGCCGAGAACCGCTTGGAGGAGGAGCGGCAACACAGACGCAGTCAGAACGACACTCGTCTCAACGGCCAGTTCTTGAGCCAATACCAGGCTTCCCAGACTAGCAATGCCTCCAGTGGAGTAAGATCCGTCGAGGAGACACCGGAAAGTCGACGCATCAAAGAGCTCGAGCGTGAGCTTCAGCAAGCAAAGGAACGGGAGCATCAGTACCAGACCGAACGCCAGGAGCTTCAGTCTCCCAAACCCACCGACGAGGCCCGGTCTCGCAGCCGTCCACGTCCCGTGCCTCCTAAGCCAAGCTACAGTCTCTCTTCGCTTGAGCAAGAACGGCTACTACTCCGCGGTGAGTGGCAGAACAACCAGGAAATGCCAGCCACCTCAGAGGAACCCGAAGCCGTCGAGGAACAAGCGCCGCCTCCAGCTCTTCGCCCTCTCCCAGAGCCCAAGCCATCATCCCTCTCTGCACAGCCAACACTCCCACCCAGAGAACTCCCTCAACCCCCTCGTCCTCTCCCGGACCCAGTCGCCTACAACGCCAACCGCAGCCGTCAAAGCCGCGTGGACAACTTCCTCTCCTCAAACCCAGCACCCGCCCCCGCAGCCCCAGCCGCCCACAGACCCCAAGACTACACGTCAACCGCCGAAGTCGACGAAGAGAACAGCCGACGCGTAGCCTCACAGCAGAAGACAAAGGCCGGCGGATGGGCATCGAAATCTCTCCTCGAGCGTGAGATGGAGCGCGAACGTGCCCGCCAGCAAGAATGGGAAGAAAACCAGAAACAGACTGCCGCCGCTGCCGAGCGTGGTGTTAACGACCCCACTCATGGCTCGGGGCCCGGTCAGTCGTGGGACGTTCATCAGTATGGTTACATGGGTGGTGATAACCAGAACCGTGGCGGTGTTGGGCTTGGTGTTGGTGGTGCTAGGCGTCAGATTATTGGGCCCCGGCCGCCTCCATAAGTTGCTGCTTGGTCTCCTGTCGATGGTTTATCGAAACTGGTGCCTATTCAACCTAGGATTCTTTCCACTTTTTACCCTCTCTACTTGCTTTTTCGTCTTATTGCTTTTTCTTCCTTTTCTTTGATTGCTGCTTTATCATGTATCACCACTGAAGCAGAACTATCCCTTTTTTTGCATGCCATTTGCGTTATTATTTCATTATTTGCGTTCTATGATTCCCGTTCGAAGCCTTTTCCTTTTCTTTCTTTGCTCTTGATAATGCTGTTTTGGTGTGATGCGACTGTAGATAGCAAGAGGTGTATCGAAATTCCATGATAATCTACAAAAATGAAAAGAAAAATGACATCTATAGATTAGATCACCTCTGTCCCTGCTCAGTCTTCGGACTGCAACCTTGGTCCGAACAATCTTAGGACTAAATGCGAAACACAGGGCCGCATCTAAACAAACTGCCTAATGCAACCTTGAAACATGGTAATCATAACATCGTAAAAACACACATACGTAACCCTAAACGTCAAGACTAACTAGCAATCGGCAAAAGATGCTCAACCATAAACAACAACCTAAGCCCGCTCTCGCGCAAATAACAACACTCAACAGAAACCCTCTCCCCACTAGCCAAACACCTCCTCCTCTCCTCCTCGGCCCTCTTACCACGCTTAAGAACCCCAACCTTAACCGCCTCCCGAAGCCGTGGCGTAACAAAGAGCATCCCACTTTTATGCAGCAACGCCATCAGCGCCTCTAGCAGAATCGAAACCTTGGCATTGTTCTCAATGCTGGGATTCGCCGCTGCGTAGGGTAAGAAACACTTTTCCAGCTTTTCCTGGTGGAGACAATCATCGTCAGACCTGGGCGCTGAACTCTCGCGCATGACGAAGAGGAGGAGCTCGCAGAGGGTTGTTTGCGCGGCAGGGATCATATGTGGGAGAATTGAGGGGCTGATGAAGTGTTGGAAGATTGGGAGGGGGAGGCCGCGGATGTTTTCGACGAACATGTGGTAGAGGTCGTCTAGGGGAATGAAGTCTTCGGGGAGGCGGGTGGAGACACTGGAGAGGATGCTTAGGAGTTGTTGGCGGAGAGAGAGGGAGTCGTAGCCGCCCAGAGAGGAGAGGTCACTGCCGGGCTCTTGGACGTGGGTAGTTTTTTGTATTTGGCTGATGGGGCTGGCGGCTGTAGATTGGTCTAGGTCGGTTTTTGTTCCTCGTCTTGTGCGTTTGGCGCGTCTAGACCTGGTTTCTTTGGCTTTTGCTTTGGATGGAGGTGAGATTGTGTCGGGTGCGTCGTTGGATTCTTCTCCTGACTCGTCCAGGTAGTCGCCGTATTCATTCTTGTCAATGTTGACTTCGACCTCCCTCTTCTTGCTATTCTGCGTTGCTTTCGAGGTCTTGGTGATTTCCTTTTTTCTGTATACCTCCTTGAACTCTTCTCGTGTTCCATCAGCAAAAATAGCACGCAGGATCCGACGGTTTCGTCCGGACGTGGTATTCGAGCTTATATATTGAAAGATCAAGCTCTCGCGGAAAATGTCGAGGTCGTCCTCTGCCGCCTGTTTGCCCCCGCGTGTCCCTTTCGTGGCTGGTTCAGCATCCTGTGAGGCTTCTCTCCCATCTCCCTTGGCCTCTAACCATTTTCTTTCGCGCTCTTTCCAGTCATCTTCGAGAACGTTGCACATGAACTGTAGCCAAATCTGCCAACGCTCCCACCTCTCCGGGTACAGCACCGAACAACGGAATGCCCACCCGACAACATGCCAGAAGTCCTCTGCGCGTTGCCATACCGAGTCTGCATCACTGATCACCGTCTTAATGGGTTTTGTGTCGCTGTTTTTCAGCTCACTAGTCTCTGGGCTATCCTGACGCCGTAAGCCCTGGCGCGAGGATTCGAAATGCGTAAAGGCAAAGGCAACATTGAACTTTGCATCAATAGGACCGACAAGTGAGTTCGTAAGTCGAAGGAGGCGGAGGGATGCATTGGCGGCTTCTTTCTCTTCCGTCGATTTGGCGCGTGTTGTCGTGGATGGGTGAACGAGGATGGTGGCCGCGACGGCCAGATGCTGTGGCTGAGGAATCACTGCTTTGGCTGAGGAGACTGTGCCGGATGCAAGGGTGTTGTAGAGGAGACTAAGTGCTTGAGTGTCTAGTTCGGAGCAATTGGAATGTTAGTCGCGTTTCTTTGAAACTTTGAGACGCGTCTCGGAGGTTTGGGGACGTACGGAGGTTTTCTTCGAAGAAGATACCGACATGCTGGACTAATTCAAAGGCTAGCGGTACCGGTGACCGGTAGGGAACCTCGTCCATCGCCATGTGGAATGTTTGCGAGAAGGAAGTTGAGGTCGACGCGCTTATCGATAAGCGGGGAGATGCGATAGGACAGAGTATGTCAGAATAGAGTGTAGTCCTAACAAAGAGAGACCAGACTTGATGTCAAAGGGAAAGCAGTCATCACGATGATTTGAACTAGAACTTGACATTGAAGTCTACAAAGAATACGGAAATAAAGCGGAGAAAGCACGATCTATAGCCCGCTTATTACTGCACTATAGATCTACCAGGGAGAAATGTAGAAATGTAAGCGAATAGGACCCAACTCCTTAGTCAACAAATACTATATAAATCAAATACATGCGTTACATTCTTGTTTGTCCTTCTGCGCTTTCTATCGGCAAGCCGAGTGATGTGGGTACAGGTGTAATAGCGAGGTTCAAAATGTTGGAATATCACATTCATATACCGACGGTTATTAAACAAATTCATACGACTGAACAATCAAGGCAATACTAGACTTGCCTCAACTTCACATGCAAGCCCCGCTTGGACCCAGCCAAGAGATTAACTTGCAGCCCTACCTGTGGAGATTCTATGCACTCACTGTGTTCAGGTTTATTAGGCTCTTGAGTCCCCTAGAAAATGCATAAATGTAAGGTTTTGGAAGGAACTCTAGACATAGGACCGAAAGGATGGGAATTTGGACTGGCATTTACTTCTGCGTCTTCATATTTGCCAAAGAAAGGAGAAACAGGACGCGATAGCCAATAACGGGTCAAAACTCCGTCAATCAAGTTCGCAATGCAAAGGCCCTGGAAGGGAGGCGAGAGAGGTTGAGAAATCAAGGGGGCCGAGAAGACGCCAACATGGATAGCAATTGGATAGAAAAGGAAAGATTTGGAGGCACTATGACTCCTCGGGTATCTCGGAGAATAGACCTATCCGCAACCGATGCCACTGTAGACAAAATGTTAGCAATCCATCCAATAAATCCCGTGATCACTGCAAGACGTACAAATGGCAGCTTAGGAATAACCACTCCCAATGTGGCGAGGAAGTTGATGGTAAAGTAGGTCATGTCGTAGTGGGTGTAGTGAGTGCTAAGGAGGAAGAGCACAACCGGGACGCTGAGCAGGAACTTCTTGGCGGGCGTATATTGGTCACCGTTGTCGATCTGCTCCCACATATTCAGATTATCGTAGGCACCGGCGTTGAATTCGAATGGGATGCCCCGCACCCAGTGAAACATGAGGAAGGACCCGAACATGTAGCTGATGTTGGTGAGGGTCCACGAGGTCTCCTGTGAGACGCCCGGGATGATGTCGTAGAAGATCTTGAGGGCAGCGATACAGACGAAATGAATGGTCCAGGCACCTATAATATGAATCGAGTCAGCCCCCGATCTGCTGCGTGGTCTCAGCTTGCCACTTACCCTTGGCGTTCACCCAATCTGCGTTGAGGTTTGGCAAAGCCGCCTGGTCGCTTGTGCGCTCGATTGATTCAGCAGGTTCCTGGTAGATCAGACTGCTGGACCGCCTCCGTCGGCCTTGTTTTTGGTTCATGCTTGGAGATAGCCGCTGCGGCGCCGTGTCAACATCCGGAGGGAAAGAGATGCCACGGGGGGCCAGCAGGGAAGAAACTTTTGAATTGGACGCCAGCTTGTCGGTTGCTAAAAAAGAAATGAAGATGGAAGAGAAGGAGAGAGGAAAAGGAGCGTGGGGATGAGGTGGCACGGCCCAGACTGGAGTTTGCCGGTCGGATCGGCTTGGGTCACGGGGTGCGGAAGAGCTCTCTGATTCACGACTTTATTCTTCCGCTAAAATTAGATATTTATACTCGGAGATGACTATATTTCTGGCTATTCTAGAACTTTTGGTTTTCGCTGCACTTATGCATGTGCGGAATCTAATCCCAAAGCACCAATAGGGCCGCAAAGGGGTAATTTGCAGATATTCTTGTCTTGTCTTGTGTTTCATGTTGAACTAGAAGATTCTCATCATTACTATAATTGAAAGCATTTTGAATCTGCCGGTCCCTTCTTCAGGGCCTTTTTTGACACCGGATTTGTTCACGGTGAATGGAAATATTTCCGACGCTACTATAGCAATAGCCGCCACAGACTTGGCTACTCTATAGCCAACGCTATCTCCGAACAGTTGCCCCTTTATTGATTGGTTTTTTCTTCCAAATATACTATATGCAAATGTAGTTTGCGATAGAGTGAGTAACATATTTCTATATTAACGTACAGTGGTTTCATACTCACGAAATCCTGGAAGCCCATGGTTTGATGATTCAATATTAAAAGCAAGTGTGGAGCTACCAGTGGACTTTTAGAATCCATAGCACCGTTGAGATTTATGTCAGTAAATATTCTGACTGAATTTATCTTTAATTATGAATATGAACATGTGTTTCGTACACTTGGGGATTATCGTGGAGTTACATGTAGCGATTGAAGTAGACAGTAGCACAGCATTGAAATCTAGTATATTCACCTCCAGTGATCACAATTATATAGCTCCCTTGGAGGCTCAAAGCCTCTATTAGCAGCGTTTGTATAGACTTGTTCGGAAGCTACATCTACAACATTGTGTATATCGACACTCCATTCAGCCCTGTTCCCACACATTTTGAGCAGGATATAGTTCTTGTTTCTGTTACATGAAGTTTTTGACTACATTTTAATATAGACTTATAAAACAAGGCCTAGACACTACCAACATAGTCATTCTAAATGGCCGATCTATACTCCGTACTTGGCGGCCCGATTGCGCAAATGGTCAATATCGGCCACCGTGAAATTAATTTGATCTGAATTCTACCGAAGATCTCTCTATTCTAACCCATCAAATCGTCCGTGCCATTACAAATAGCAAACAATGGCAAATTCCTCTGACGAAGAAGCCGATTCACGGACGGCATCGGTGGGCGCACAGCGTGCGAAGAACCCTCGTTCCACACGCTCCACCTCACGCGATAGCACGTGGCCAGCAAAGCGACAGCGGCAGAATAAAAGTCAAGATGCGCCTGATCATGCGGATTTCGTCCCCCGGGGCGGTGCGTTCACTGCCACCTCCCTGCAGGTCGACCCCGATAGCACATCCAGCTCTGGTTCCTCCGACTCAGACTCCGACTCGGCCTCCGACGCGGCCTCCGATGCGAACGACACCACGAACCCACACGCTGGAAGCACTGCACCTGCCATCAGCTGGAACCAAGCAAGGAAGAAGGCAGTGCGCACAACTCTGGGAGGAAGCGATCCGCTCCGATGGAGGGGAACGCTGAGCAGTCTGAGCAGTTTGATGCTGTGAATGACAAGTACTGGCGCAGTCGCAGTGACTCTGCCTCATCAGCTAACAGTGAGGCTCGCGCACGGAAAAAGTCTCGAACCCAAGAAGATCTGGAAGAGGGCGAGATTGATTCCAAGAGTGAATCCGACGATTCAGATTCGCTTGACTCCGCAGCCGATGATTCTATCCTATTAAATATCGGTTCCAAGGAGAATGGATTGGACGACGGCGAAGACTACGATCCAGAGCGTCTGATGCCTGGTAATGGGATACAAAATGGAACAACCGCCGCATCAACTTCCAACGGGGTCGAAATGGAATCTGGCTCTCAGTCAAAAGAAGAGGCTTTCCGCCTCTTCGCACTCAAGTACCCCACTGCGCCTACGTCTCTGGTGGACTTGAACAGGAAAGATCTCGAAACCCAGTCCCGATACGTGTACTACGACCGCAGCATCCACGACCTTGACCTGAAGCTTCCCATTTCTTGCATTGAGTGTCAAACCGAGGGCCACATGGCCGACATCTGCCCAACAAAAGAGGTATGCTCCTTAAGGTTTGGATCTAGAGACGTTACTTTTTATACTGACTCTATGTTTAGTGCTCACACTGCGGTGCTTGGAACAAGCACGCAAGCGTTGTTTGTCCCACCTGGCGAAGATGCCAAAAATGTCGCGAAAGAGGCCACGGCGAGCCACAGTGCACATCCAAGCTACGATGCTCCGCCTCCGAAGTGCCCTGCGACATGTGCGGCCACGAACACCTCGAATCAGAATGCGACTTCCTCTGGAAATTCCCGTCCCGAGATCTGCATTCCGACCAAATCTCCGTCTCCATCTCCTGCGCCAACTGCGCCAGCGCAAAGCACCTAGTAGGAGATTGTCCAGACCCATATCTAAAACTCGGCACATCATCCTTTACTTTGGAAGGTCTGGACCCAGAAATGATCACGAACCTCAACACAGCCGATGGACCCCGACGGACCGGCCGCCCAGGACCAGCACCACGCTCACACGGAAACGCCAGCAGACTTGGTTCCCGCGGTGCGGAATGGTCGCGCTCTTCCTCCCCAGATGAAAGTGATATGATGTCCCGCGTTTCAAGGGGGCGTGGCCGTCCTGCCCCCGTCCACCGCAGTAACAACCGTGGCAATATCAGGTTCGCCAATAATGTCGGCACTGGTCGTGGTGCGTCTCGGGGACCCCCTCCGGTTCCCCGTGGCCGTCCTCCATTCCCTGGTAATGAGCGCCGGCGTCGCTCGCCTTCGCCTCGTGCGAGGAATCCGCCTCCACCGCGTGGTGGTGGCCGCGGTCGTGGGCCTTCGAGGGGCTCTGGGCGCTCTCGTGGGCCACGGGGTGGTGGTAGAGGCAGAGGGCGGTAATGGATGGTTAATTTGAATGAGGGGAGGTGAAATTTTTGGACACATCTGCGCATGGAAATACCAATTGTTCAACTTTAGCCGTCAGCTTTTCGCTGAGCAGGCATTTACGATGAGAAGAAATCTGATATCCTCAACCCTGTTTCAATCTATCGAGAGATCTCGTATGGCACACCATGCATTATCTGGGAGACCTACGCAACTACCACTCAATTCCATTAAATGGAACAGCACATACAGCACATACAGCACCACTACTGGACATGTTCATCATTCTCCCGAGTCCCAAGAAACCCCTGCTCAAGAATATCCACCAAATCATCCAGCCGCGAAATACAAAGATCAGTATGGGCATGCTCCCTCAAATGCACATTACGCTCATTGAGAAGCAAGACCGTCGCCGCACCAGCCATATGCCCAGATGTCATATCATCAATGCTATCACCAACCTAACAAAATCCCGACAATCAGCATCTCTACGCGCAAATCATAAGATCACGAGAACAAGCAGCTAAACTCACCATAATCATACTCTCAGCCCGATTACCCAACCCCCATTCACTTGCGATATGCAAGATACCAGCGGGATCAGGTTTCGGGAGGAGATTGGGTGTGTCCCGCGTGATGATGGGTAAGAAGACGTGTGTTGGGAGATGGTTGTCGACTAGGTACTTGACGGGTGCTCTGGCGGAAGTGTTAGTATCTGGTCTAGAGGCTATCCACTTCGTCGCATGGATAGAAACCATGGAATTGACTTGATTGCCACATACTCGAAATTTCGCGTACAAAGCGCCCTCCGTAAACCTCGAGATTCAAGGTAGTCCATTAGCCGGAGTAGACCGGGCTGCGGTTGTTGGTCTATCATTGCTCGCCGTTCTACGGCTTGGACCTTTGATACTGCTGCTGCGCGGTCTTCTGGTGTTGGGAGTTGTCGGATGTGGTGGAGGATGTCGATTGAGCGGTCGATTCCTAGAGCTTCTCTGTGGCGATGTGTTAGTTTCGATTGGGATTATAAATTATGGTTGGTGGTAGGGTTGTGATCTATGTCTGATATACGCTGGGGATTTCGAGGTGGAAGCCATACCTCATTTCGTTGAACATGTGGTGCTGTGGTAGACTTTCGTGAAGTTAGCGATGTCTAGTCAATATCGGATGGGGCATGCAATGAAGCATGGTGTTCATATCTTCAAGGCATAAATAGCAGTCAAGGGTTCCAATATTGTATGTGAATGCCAAGGTGGAAAAGACAGCGAGGAAGCATCTCGAAGAGTGCCTTGTATAGTCCCGAACAACAGCAAAAAGAGTATCCAGGCTACAGAATAACAAAATAGGCATGCGAAATACCAGAAGTCCCAGAGAAAAGACGCGGACTGAGGTACTACCGAGTATCAAGCAGGTGCAACCAATAACCGGTCTCAATACAAGATATGAGCTGCATGTAGTATACTTCCTGATTAGGTAGAGCCCTTGTACGTCATATCACGTGTTGATATCAAGTTGGTGCCTGAATATTCAGTCCAAAACTGCCCTCGCAGCATCAAGCCGGCAGCGTACACAAAGCCAAACAACGAAAACATCGGACGCGATGAAAGAGTGAGTGAGAATAGGAAAGTAGTGCAAGGCATCTCATGGCAGAACGTTTGATATGGCCACTTACCACAGAGTTCCATCCACATCAAAGACAATTCCCTTCAAGAGCGGGGCATTGGATGTCCGGGCTGGATCCAGAGGCGCAAACTTGCGCGGGCGAAGATGCATACATTCCACGGCAGACATGGCGGATCGAGGAGAGCGAGGCAGAAACATGGAAGAGAGGATGAAGTTGAAGTTGACGTGGAGATGGAGATCGAGTTCCAGGGTGGGCCGGGTCGTGGGGCAGGGGAAACACACCTGCGAATCTATAACTTTCTCGGATAACCTTAGAAGTAAACATCAACCATTGATAATAAGCCTTGAAGTCTTATTTTAAAGCCATATGAGTTCAACTGTTACCCTCTCTCAAAGTACGCTGCTACAACAAGGATCATAAATGTGTACACAGTACCACTCAGTAAGTATATTGGATAGTCTTTACACGAACCCAGTCTCGAAGCGAGTATATTGTACCATGCATCGTCTTCGCTCTACGTGGGCTTCTCTCTTTTTCTGTCCACTTTCGAGGCCCTCAAGTTATAGCGTTTTTAGAACGGTGGTGAATCAAGTACATTGCATCAAAGAGTGGGGCGGAGGTATGAAAGGACTTATGGCCTATGACTGTATTAGGGGGGCTACTAATAAATCATAATTATGACAGTCAATGCTCTCAAGAATAAAATCTCATGAATGACAGGCTTGGTAGTAATACATAACAGAATCCAGTATAGTAGGCCCCATGACAAAGCGAATAAGTAGAAACACAAACCCAAAAAGACGAGAACAGGAAACTCACAGGCTCCTCTCAAAACATGAATCATCTCATCATCAAAACCAAGACAGATATACTATTCTCGGAATTTTCCAAGCAAGCACCCCCAGCACCCCAGGAACATGCAATCCCCCATCCAAAGCCCAAGGCTTAACACCAAATCCCTAATAATCAGAAAAAGGCCGAACAGAAGTGGTCCCACGGCCACGAACAGCATAAGCAGTAGCAAGCGAACTGTACTCCAAATGATCACTGACAGGAAACTTCCCAGGATAACTCTCAATAGATTGATACTTGGGCGAGCGGTTCATCTGTACAGTCTCCAAATCCTCATCATTGATCTGACCAAATGGAACAGGAAGGATACCAGAACCAGGCTGCAGAGCCCTTCCCCTCCCCTTCCACCGCCCACTGAAGCCCATGCCCACCGCCGGACCAGGATCGCTGAAATGATCAGCGATGCGAGCAGGCACAGATGCAGATACAGGGAAAGGCAGATCCTCGTTCAGACCCATGAATAGATTCAAGGCTTGCACAGGCTGGGCCGTATCTTCTCGGAGCATCTGCTCTTCGACGTCAGTGGGCGGGCCATCCAGATTCCGGTTTAGCGCGACACCAGATATCGGCTGTGATCCCGCACTTGGGAATGGGCGGCGGAAGATGCGTTCCATTGCCGAGCTGGTGATTGAGGAGATGCTGCCACGGGTGCTGGAGCCGATTTTGCGTACGGTGTCGTAGACTGAGGAGCCAGGTCGTGGATGGGTCTGGGGAGGTGGAGGTGGATGATTGGGCCCGTGGATAGAGAACCTGTAATTATTAGGCGGCATAGCTTGTAGCCAGGAAGGATGAAGGCTTGTTGAATTGCGGCCGTCCGTTTCGTCCAGCAACCCGTTTCTTCGGGAGAAGCGCGACTGTTGCCCTGTTGCTGTGGCGGAGCTGTAGGTTGACAGTGGAATGGCGCCGATGATGGAATTGATTATTGCTGCTTCAACACGGTCGATATGCTGTCCGAAGGGAGGGAATTCACGGCGTGAGTTTGATAGTGGTCGCGCGATGTGGGAGACTAAGTAGAGCAGTTGAAGGTATACTAGGGCGCCGATGAGGTAGAGGGCTTTGGGGAGGGGTATAGGGAAAGATCCCGTTGGGATGGGTTTGTGGTCCATGATGGGATGAGTGATATGATGTGAGCTTGTTCATAGTGAGAGAAGAACGGAGGAAAAGGATGTTGGTGGAAGGGCCATTGATGGCTCTTTCCTATAGATGTAGATACAAGGCGCTTAGGCCGGCGCAATTGCGCGGTTCTTTCCCCATTGTGGGAATACAGATAATCATATGAATGAGCAACTAACTGAAAAGATATGAATAAGACTTGTTTAGTTTCGTATAGATCTAGGATCTTACAAAAAAACAAATTACAAAGGAAAATTTCCTACGAGATACTGCATGCAAGGTGAAGGAAGGGAGGAGATATGGAAAAAATACAAAAAGAGAGGTCGTGCCCGGGATCGAACCGGGATTGCCAGAATCAGAATCTGGAGTGATGAACCATTACACTACACAACCGAGGTTGTTGAGTGAGGCTGGGTACGTATGAATCTAGAATCTTAGGAAGATAAAGAACCCAAAATGCAAAAATAAGAGAGGTCGTGCCCGGGATCGAACCGGGATTGCCAGAATCAGAATCTGGAGTGATGAACCATTACACTACACAACCGTGGTTGTTGAGTGAGATCTAGGGTTAATGTTATAAGAGGCAGAGAAAAGCTTTTTCAATTTGGAAGCCCTACCACTGCAGCTATGTTACATGTAGCTAGAGCTCTCCTAAGAAAACTCCACTTAATGGGGAAAAAAGACTCGATCTTGATTCGTAAGCCAATTATAATCCTCGTGCCTAAAGAATGGCTTCTATATTTAGTTGCGTTTGGATTGTTTTCCCCTTAATCTAAAGAACTCAACCTCTTTCAGTTTTAGATGAACATTTATAACATACAATTGTCTATGGGCTCTGGCTCGCAAATCTAATTGGTGGGCCTTACTCTGGCTTTTATAACATTAGCCCCGGCCTTCACTCAACAACTACGGTTGTGTAGTGTAATGGTTCATCACTCCAGATTCTGATTCTGGCAATCCCGGTTCGATCCCGGGCACGACCTCTCTTTTTGTATTTTTTTCCCATATCTCCCTTCACCTTGCATGCAGTATAGTATCTCTTAGGAAATTTTCCTTTTAGAAAAACCATAATCATTATTATAACCTGCGGAATTAATTCTAAACCTAAATAGGCATACGGCTGAGCGAATACCTTGGCGAGTGCTGGATTTCTTAGCCCACTCAACTCTTTCTCTGTAGGCTAACTCGTAGGCCAAGATGAGAACCGCAAGACAAGAAAGAATAAGGGTGGGGAGGGATACTTGAAAGGCATCCCAATATTTTTATTTTATTTTTATTTTTTTATTCTTTTGGCTGTCTAGTTTGCAATGTTCTCATCTGTGAGCCTCTTGGCCTCCTTGAGCTGCGCAATTCGAATAGTTATGTGGCCCTGGGCAAAGTACACATCTGCCCGTCGTGGATATTGTGTTAGGTCACATCCTTTCTTCTTGAACCGGCTCCAGGTGCGACTAAGGCTTTCACTGGTAATATACTTGATCGCAGTATTCGCGGGTTTCCAGTCACCCTTGCGTCGACAATCTGGACATGTAAATTGACGAAGCACAACTGTCGGAACTGGATGAATTGTCCATCTGGGAGCATCGTCCTCTAGAGTGCCTTTGCACCCTTTATGTGGGCATTTGAGCTCAACTGTCCGAGGGATCTCTCCAAGCTCATCTTGGCCATGGCGAAGAAAATATTTCTCCCATTGAGCACCCCCACGGAGATGGGGATTGGGGATATTTTCCAGTTTTTCCTTCAGTGCGCGCACGTAATTTTGACATCCCTTCAAAGGATGGAGAAGTACACGACCTCCTGTGCAGCCAATGAGCCCGCAGCCTGTCTGGGAACTTTTGACGACATAGTAATCCAGGTTGTTCTTGGCGTAATACGCAAAAGAGTCATCTAATACTCTTCCTTGACAGGCAGAGCATGCCCGAGGAACAATGCATTTTGGTGGTGCTCTGAGAACCATCAAGTCAATGACGGTCCCTCTCGGTGTGCGACGGATGTTCCAAGCATATGCAATCAGAATAGACAAGGCAAGCCCAACGATGCTGAAACTCTCTGGGCTGCCTTTACAATGAAGAAGGCGATAAGCAGTCTCGGCCCCTTTGCGTGAAATTATCGGGTGCTGATCGATTCGGAGTCCGTCTTGCGTCTGAATCAACCCAGCTAAGCTGCCTGGAAGCTCCTCCCAGTGGTAAAGCTCTCCCTCGGATGCCTCGATGATTGTGATCAGCTGCTGACATTCGACCCTGTCTGCAAAGTTGAAAGATGCATCAGGCATAAACATAACAGCTAGGTCATGTAGCTCTCCCCAAAACTGGGCGACATTTTGAAGACGAGCTTCTTCCTACGCGATGTTAAACCAAGCATTAGCAGCACATTCAACGTTCAAGGGTTATTGTCTTACCAGAGCCTTTTAATTTGCAATATTATCACCAGCCACTGTATCAGGTGCCTTCAAAGTGTGTTCGATCACAGGGAGCCTTGTGTCCTGCAACTCCTTGTGGTCCTTTCGAGAGAGACCAAGCGTTCCCTTAACCGAAGAGATAAATGCTGTCCCTGGGAAGGCGGCTTTGAGCTCCGCATAGGCTTGGCCTTTCCAGGCGTCTCTTTGCTCCCGGATCGCTTTTGCTGGCCGAAATGGTCGAAGCAGTAGGGGACTAAGCTTGTAAAAGTTTGCGTTGATGGCAATATTCCCTAGGCGAGAAGCTACCCCCAGCAGTAAGTCTTGTCTCCCCCCTTGCTCTGTTCGGAACGCCTGAGCCCGAACGTTCATTCCTTTCATAAACATGAAAAATTGGGGGTGGTTGGCAAAAACGATAAAACGCCTGACAGACTTTTTATCCTCACCAAGCTCCAGGTACAGGGTGATACCTTTGTAATGACCCCAAAGGGGTAAGATGCGTAGATTGTTCTGTAAGCACTTGAGCATTCGCTCGCGTACATTCGCCCCCCAGCAAATTTCCACCACCGCTGTCATATGGGACCGGAGAGCCATCACGAATTCTTCATGGATATCCCAAAGATCCGGCGGATAAAGCACCCTGCAATGTCTGCTGTCCTCTCTTCGAGCTGAATGGTCGAACATCAGACAGTTATCGGCGGAAAAGCCAACATCGTGAAGCTGTGCGATACAAGGATTTGACGTGTCACCTATTTCACCGTGACAAGGGTCGTCAACTGTGAATGTTGGATTGAAAAGATGGCATGCCACTGGGGCATCAAGGCGGCCGGATGGATGGACAAGATATTCGCGAGGGCGCTCAACGTTATGTGACTTCCACCATGCATCTTCTTTCTCCCGGTAGTGTTCGAACGCGGCATCCATGGACCAAGTAGGGGTTGGTGCATCCCTGATTCGATGTTAATTGTCTTTCTGTTGGGGTATGTTCAGACGTACAGAGTGTACTTGCCTTGGGTGATGTTCTGCTCGAAATTATGGACAAGTGGTAGAATACCGTCGAGAGCCGTCAATACGCTTTCTGGTGGGTCATCTAACCATAGGTTCCCGAATAGTCGGAACATTTTGAACCTGTCAGACTAAGGCCGCTTGGGGAGGAAACTCAAGGTATGTTTTGAATCTTGGGAGCAGGGGCTGGAGAAGGTGGCCCTGCTGGCATAGGAAGTGATGGGAGAGTAGTGAATGCAACCCAGAGCTAAGTAACATGTGACTTAGATCTGGATTCCTAGGACAGAAACAGACACTTTTGAGTCCGCAGAGACGGATGGTCAAGTGTACGCCTAACTTGAGGATTTGTATAAAAAACAATTTATCAAAAATTATCATATATGTCAGCTTGATACGGCAATCCCCTAGTTGACCTAAGCCTCCAGAGCAAGGCCTATGCTGTATGATAAAGGAGTTGCCCTGTGGCATATATTTGATGTAGACTCATGTCTATCAGTGTTGTTATCCTGAAATGGACTGTTGTTCCATTTGGTTAGGTGTGTCTATTGATGCAGTTCACCGGTGGTACACGCTTAACAGGAACATCCTTGCCAGCGTACTCCAACTAGTCATGTTTTGGTGGTTTCTCGGGGTATCTTAACCCTGGGAATATCCTAGGATTAAGTGGCATATGTCATTGAACTTTATTATTCATTGTTGCATTCCTGCACTCTTACTATCCCCGAGGTCATTGTCCTGGTGCTGCATATCGCTGTGCAGCAAACCAGGGTTGTAGAGGCTTTGGGGCATAGCTAGTATGAAGTTCTTAACTCAAAGCCTTGGCTTCTTATTTAGCGTCCCTTCAAAAGGTATTGAGATTTACTTGAAAGGATAGAGAAAGAGGCAAACATGGGAAACAAGTGCGTTTTGTCGAAGCTTCAGGTTCTAAATAGGGCTATATCCCCAGCTGCTAACAGGTCTACTGAACTGAAATTCCGAATACAATTGAGGAAAGATCAAACCCATTCGCTTGGCCTTATTCGTATCCCATCTGGGAATTCCTGCTACACATTCACAATTGATCCATGATCAGAAGATTAATGCTGGTGCTTTACTGGCCAGTACTCCATATAGATGTCACAATTCTTCTATTGCGAATCATGAATACTACAGATCCGGCTCTCAACATCAATTGGTTGTGTAGTGTAATGGTTCATCACTCCAGATTCTGATTCTGGCAATCCCGGTTCGATCCCGGGCACGACCTTCACTTTTTGCGTTTTTGATTTGCTATTTTTTAACTTGTTCAAAGGATATGTTGAATTGGAAGTCCACAGTCTCCACTTTTACTAGTTCAGCCCTCGGCTACGGTCCTGTGTTACCGATACGGATTTTAGATATTCCGGATATACTAACAATACGGAACAATGGCTCCTACAATACAAACCGGCTTATTGGAATATAATACTGATCTTATAGGTTAAAATTATGTGGGTAAGGTGTATTTTTGTCGGGTGATAATGCTATACAAAAAAATATATTATAAAGATAATATACGAAGTATACAAGAAGAAAATGCAAAAAGAAAGGTCGTGCCCGGGATCGAACCGGGATTGCCAGAATCAGAATCTGGAGTGATGAACCATTACACTACACAACCTGAATTGATGAGTCATGCTTGGACCCAAAAACTCAAGAAACCAGTGACCTTGGGCACAGCTGAGCCGAAATTCGGGGCAGGTAAATCTATAGATATCTCTACCGTTCATGTCTTGTCTACATTATTTTTTGTGGCAATTACAGTGAGGAGATCTAACAATCTAACAACGACTTCGATAGTAAATTGCTAGTGCGTGGAATAATATAGTAGTAAAGCTATCCGCATTTGGCGAAAATATATCTTCATGGATCCAACTTGGGTAGAATACACTTGACTCTATCGTTTTAGTTAGCCAGAAAAGTCCCATGCTCAAACGAAGGGTATGACAGTACTACCCAGGAAATAGGATAAACAACAACTGATTTATGCAAATAATGGACAGCATTCACCCGACACAGAGTATAGTAGGTATCCTGAACCCTAACCTTATATAGGGTTTACTAGATTACGTATAGCCAAAGGCTTTCTGGAATACGATACAACTGGATTATAATGGTTCTGAGAAAGGGCTCGAATGAGTGTTAACTTCTATCACCCTAAGCCATGAGTCTCCAATGTAGGAATATATGATCTCTAGACATAAGCTCATAGGAACAGCAGTAGGCAGTACGGCAGCTTTACAGGCCACAAACCAGAAAAGCTAGAAAGTGAGACAAGAATATAAGAGTTGGCGAATGGAGGGAAACGAGGTAAGCGATCAGATTGCCCAGTAAGCAGCTCAGGGCTTCCAAATAGGCGGCTTACGGGGATAATCTTACATTTATAAGTTATCTCTACATCAAAAGAAGAAAGATTAGGAGCACGCAAGAAATAAGAGACGACGTATGCTATCCCGACGCTACCTATCTACAACACAATCATTATGAAATGCTACAACAGAAGAACCAAAGCGCAATATAATCCCAGTATAAATGCAATGAATGCAGGGGAGATTAGACCACCAATATATCCTGGCAAATGAAGCAAAAAGCTATAATCCTCCCAACCCAATTTTCCACGGCCAAGAACACGAAACATAAACAACGAAGAGAGAGAGAGAGAGAGGAGGAAAAAAAGGATATGTTAAACATTTAAACACACATTTTCTCATAGATAGAGTAATAATAGGAGTGGTGGGGGCGGGGACGGACATGTAATGAAGAAGGGGATATCAAATCAAAAGCATTGATTCAAGTCATGACGTTCGTAAGGGAATCGGAATATCCGAATATGGGGGAATGAAGAACAAGAATAGAAGACACGCAAATGGAGAAAGAAGAAAAGCACGCTAGAAAAAACCCAGCAAGGCAAGGAAAAACAATCCAACAGAAGCCTAAACCTAAACCTGAACCTGACCTCGGGGGTATCAACGCAGATTGGTCTCTCAATATTCATCATCATAGTCGACTTGCATGGGACTGCCTCTGTAGCGAGTTCGATTGACTTTACCAGGGCTGTATGCGCCGCCGGAGGTGAGGGGGCGCGGGCCGGTTGGTTTGCGTGTGGGAGGGGAGCGGATTGCAGAGCTCTATCAAGTGGATTAGTATCGGTCCATTCATATTGGGAATTGGTGCTGTACATACCTTTGAAACAACACGGCCAGCACCGTAAGCTGGCTCCTCATCTTCTGGCACCTTCCGAGGACGCTCTGGGACGAGAGGACCCTCGTCCTTGACCTTGGGGGGACGGGGCGGGCCGGGAGTTCGGTCTGCGCGGGAGCTGGTCTCCGAGTAGCCTGCGTCGGAGATGGGGGATAAACGGCTGGCACCGCTGAAACGCTGTTGGTTGGGGTTTACTGCGGACAGGCTGGGGTTTGATTCCCACTGGTCCGAGCCTGTGGGGGAGACTGGGCCTCCGTAGGTTTGGGCCTCGGTTTCGAGGCGGGACTGGTAGCGGCCCGTGGGACCCTGGCGAGGTTGGGGGTGCTGCAGCTCGAGACTGCCGCGGTGGCCTCGGTATTTAGGGGCTTCAGAGACCTGGGATGGTACCAGAGGCGAGGGGGGACGGTTCTCCTGCTGGGAGTCATCTAGGGTGTAGGTGGAGCGGATTCTGTCGTCGCCTTGGGGATCGTAGTAGTCGCCCTTGTAGGCGTTCTCAGCGAGATCGGACCCGGAGCGGGAGAGGTCTGAGGTTGGACGCTCTTTGCGGGAGGGCTGGATGCTGTTGCGGATGTTGTCGCCCATGGAGGTAGCGGTGGACTTGGACCAGCGAGAGATCTTGGGAAAGATGGAAGAACTACTGGACTTGTGCTTGCGAGCCTTGTCGTTCTTGTCGGCCTTAGGGGTTGTTTCGGTACTGCGGGCACCTGCAGCCACTGGCTTGCGAGGAGGCGTGGAGAGAGGCAAGGAGCCAGCTCGCTCGTGATGAGGTGGCTCACGCACAGGGAGATGTCCAGTCATGAAATCATCACCCTCGTCTAGCTCAAGATCTTCTTCGTCCACTTCGTGAACGGTGCTGACTCGCTGATCCGAGTGTCTGCGCTGATGGGGACTGGACAAGTACGCAGAGCGGCTGTTTTCGACAGGCGCACCGTTTTGACCGGGCTCATAGACAGAATCCATGCCTACCGGTCGAGTGACATGGGGCGGGCTCAAGCCGTCTTGACCAGAGCGCAGATATTCAACCTCCTCAAGAAGCTGCTCGAGCATGCCCTCAATCTTGGACAGATCGTTGCCTGACTTCAAGCTTAAGCCCTTGAGAGCACGCTTGAAGATGTTCTTCCGCTTGTCGTCTTCCTCGGCCGTGTTCAATTGGCGGTTGCGAGACGTACTGGGAGGCAAAGGCCGGGGCCCACCAAGCGCCTTATGAGTGCGCTCATGTGCCCTGTCGCTGGTGTCCATGATGAGATCATCTTGCTCAGCAATGAACTTCTTCATCTGCTCGAAAGAGGTGCGCATCTCTGCCGCACTCCGAACCAGGGTAACCAAAATCTCGGTGTCTCGGGCGTTTCGCTGGGCGTCCCGAACAGTCAGGTGGTCCATGAGAGCCACGATATCCTGGGACTGAATCCTCTCGATGCCCCGACCGGTAGCACTGTCGTAGAGCGGTGAACCGACACCGTGAGAGTAGCCACTGAAGTGACGCTGGTGACCAGGTCCGAAAGGATCTTCTGGGGTAGGACCGTCGAAAGCACCAACACCTGCGGCATCTGGGCCTGCGAGACCTCGGCTACCTTGCTTCGGGGTTCCGATGCTGGGAGACATGGGGTTGGCAGCGGAAACATAGCCCTCATCCTTTGCTCCAGGAGGTGTGCCGAACAGCTGCTGAGTTTGGTTGTCGACGGAGTGGTCATAGTAGTCGTCACCGCCAAAGATGTTCTTGGCAGTCTGGTAGTATTCCACATCAAGCCCGCGCTGCTGCTCATCACTGAGACCTTGAGGTCCAGCACCGCTATCATAATATTGATCAACGGGAGGAGACCGGGAGTTGTATGCCCAGTGATCTCCCTGAGCAACACCGCCAGCAGGGCCCTGGATGATCGATGGGTTGGTGTTGATC